CTTGATTAGGTTAATCTATATTAGATAGTGTGAGATGGTTGATTACTAATTATATTATCTGAAACATACTCATTTTATAAACTAAAACGTCAACCTGAGTGGCTAATCGATATCGCGTCTAAAACGGTTAAGTCATGGTCGGACTTTCGCGAGGCATTTGATTTTAATCTTAGTATTTAATTTCGTATTTAATTTCGTTATCATCCCTAAACATAAAAATTTACTTACAAGACTATCTTAATTAGTCTTATTTATATCTATTATCCCCAAGATCCTCCTCAGAAACAAAACTTTATCTTATAATTTATTTGTAAACATAACTTCTTTGATGGAGTAAACATGAATGGAGAATGGACCTCATTCATAACTGATTAGTCAAATTTTAAGTACTAGTTTGCTGAACTGTCTTCCCACAGACTTGATTTAAAAATATCACTTCAGTTGACATCTTATTTTAAATCGATCTAACTCAAAGTATAAATGAATTCCAGCACAATACTCGTGTGCTGATAAATGATCAGGGCATTGTTATTCTATAAGTCTGGTTTTTCATAACTCCATAATTAAGGTTGATTTTCACCAATATATCTGAAACTGGTAGTATCGAGTTAATTCTTAAAGTGGGACTCGATAAGTTTTGTACAAAAAACCATATATATTTTACTTTTTCTTGACTGATGGAGGATAGAGAAAATAATTTCGGATTAGGATGTTAGAGAGCTTATGTACTCTAAAGAATGTGAAGTTAAGTCCCGTCACAGCTTACATCGATATGTACTGATAATAGATTACTGAAATAGTTTCATATTCTGGGTTGTTTCTAAAAATCGAGACACTTATCAGGTATTCCTATGTCAGTGAAGATTAAACCACTCAAAATTAGTAACTTATTTTGAAATTACTGTTGCTTTTCTATTTTAGACAAACCAGACCCTTTATCCGATTGATCGTTGTAAAACTGTCCTAATACTGATTTGTGATTTATATTTAGAATTAATGATCAGAGACAAAGGGATTTGTAGAAAATTGGCCACTTAGATAAATTATGGTTGAAACTAGTCTCATTTGTTATTATCTGTAGGCTTCAAACGATTGATTTACCTAATAATAATATTCTCATATCGCTTCGAACTTCTAGTCCATAAAGTTAGGCTTTCATTCAATTACTTTTTCACAAAGGCTTTGATTCAAGGGTTACTATTAATTCATTTTGTATTCAACAAATAAAGGAAGTACTACGCTGGTCATCATTAAGTATACTAATGTTCCTTTAAGTTAAATCTAATCGGTTACAAATTTTAAAGCAGTGGCATCAGTCACTTTGTTACTGTAGTATTATTTACCGAATAGCAGATTATTCAAGAAAAAAGTTAAAAACATATCTGAATAACGGTATTCGGGTCTACAGAATTAATCTTTTCATTTTCTCTCTGATTTTATTATTTTCACATTATGGATACTGACTTGAATTGCATAACAACTCACTACTTAGTTTATCCTTCGGAATGTCAACGTTGCAGCATTCTAATAACAATTTAAATATGTTGCCAACTGACGATAAATGGCCACGATTTGTGAATATATGTCAGTGAATAATATACGTAGTTCTATCATTAGATTTAAGCGTACAACAAACCTAAATTTTTAACAGATTGACGAATTTGAAGTAGATACCCGTTCGTTACTTTGTTTGATTTTCAAGCTTAAACTTTCGAAAATGTTCTCAGCTGATAAATTTGTCCGGACACACTACTCATTTATTGATATCAATATACCATTGAATCAGATTCAGCTTTGCTAAGTGAAATAAATTATGTAAAGGCTTAGTGACAAGAAAGTTTCAGTTCACGAGCGTATCTCCTGTTTATCAGCAACCATTTAATGGAACCCCAGTGACATCGGTTGATCTGCATTTAGTTTTTCGAAAACATATTCATGTTGGATAATATCAATGACGGTGTGATTATTCCTCTCATAAACAATATTACCCCACAATTTCCTGCATATTCACTTATCCTGATTTTTACATCAGTTGTTTGACATGTATCGCGAAATCCTTTAGACACAAATATGTGACCTCTAAGGAGATGTTAGTCAATTTACACATATATGATTCATCTGTCTTAACATTCATTAGTTTTTTCCATTTGTTTGTTGAAGATATATTGACGTTGCACTCACATCTTTTGAAAATTCCGCCCGTTTGTGGACTTTGACCCAATACTTTTATACTACCTTTATCTGAGAGAAATACATTGATCCAGCCATATGCATTTTGTTGAATTACTGTATATGATGTTTAAATAAACAGTTATCATACAGAGAAAGGTCAAATTATACGAAAGTTTCAAAACAGGTGAATTACAGCAATAGGCTTGATTCACATTTTTTTCAAGGTCATTGACATTTATCATGTGCAAATAGAGAAAACAAAAATAGTTTAGGTTATTCACCGTTAGGACACACGGATTGTGGCTAGCAATGAAAATGTATTTCGTCCCATTTTGATATTTCTACCGTACGTATTAGTTTAAACTCCAACGAGGACCCACTAAACTATTGAGTCCATATGGCTACTAACTTGTTTACCAAATATGATCTTCATTAATGTTTGCAATATCTCGTTGTTGGTATTTAGGATTGATATTTTATCAATCTTTGTGAAATGAAGCATACACCATGAATGTTATTCGTTCATAAAATATTAGAAAGTAAAAATATTTCAAGACAATCTTAACGATTATCTAGAAACAAGATTGTAGCCATACTATAATATTTTAGGTTTTTTCTATAGCGTAAGGATACATAAAGCATATGATTTTCTATGGTGATGAATAACAATTCAAGTGAAAGATTCTGTTCCATGAACATTTAGACGTGATATTTGAATTCTCCTTCTTCTATCCTCATTCTCATTTTAACAGTACGCATTTGTTTTAGGAAAAGATATTTACTAAAAACTATCAAAAATCAGCCCATTAACATACGATGAATCATAATTTACCACTTCATATCACATTTCTGGTTGATAATGACAAAAATAGTGAATAATTAGCTTCGGTATTCACTGGATCTATTCTAAAAACGAACTACTTCAGTAAATAATCATCCTGATTTTATTTAGAATTAGCCTTGAGATGAATAAACTCCGCCTGTAGCTACTCCACATCTTCTTCAGTAAGATTTGGGACGAAGAACAAGTACCAACAGACTGGAAAAAAGGACTTCTGATCAAAATACCAAAGAAAGGTGATCTTAGCAAGTGCAACAACTACAGGGGCATCACTCTTCTCTCAATACCAGGAAAAGTCTTCAACCGAGTATTGTTAAACAGGATGAAGGATTCGGTAGACGCCCAACTTCGAGATCAACAGGGTGGATTTCGTAAGGATAGATCGTGCGCAGATCAAATCGCAACTCTGCGGATCATTGTGGAACAATCAATCGAATGGAATGCATCACTCTACATCAACTTCATCGACTACGAGAAGGCATTTGATAGCGTGGACATGACGACACTATGGAAGCTTCTTCGACACTACGGTGTGCCTGAGAAGATAGTCAATATCATACGGAACTCCTATGATGGACTAAACTGCCAAATCGTCCACGGAGGACAACTCACTGAGTCTTTTAAAGTAAAGACTGGTGTTAGGCAAGGTTGCTTACTCTCACCCTTTCTCTTTCTTCTGATCATCGACTGGATCATGAAGACGTCAACATCTGGAGGAAATCACGGGATACAGTGGACAGGCAGGATGCAGCTTGACGATTTAGACTTCGTGGATGATCTGGCTCTTCTATCACAAACGCAACAACAAATGCAGGAGAAAACGACCAGTGTAGCAGCAGCCTCAGCAGCAGTAGGTCTCAATATAAACAAAGGGAAAAGCAAGACTCTTCGATACAATACAATATGCACCAATCAAATTACACTTGACGGAGAAGCTTTGGAGGATGTGGAAACCTTTACATATCTGGGCAGCATCATTGATGAACACGGTGGATCAGATGCAGATGTGAGGGCGCGGATCGGCAAAGCAAGAGCAGCATACCTACAACTGAAAAGCATCTGGAGCTCAAAACAATTGTCAACCAACACCAAGGTTAGAATTTTCAATACAAATGTCAAGACAGTCCTACTGTATGGGGCGGAGACGTGGAGAACTACGAAAACCATTATCCAGAAGATACAAGTGTTTATTAACAGCTGTCTACGCAAGATACTTCGGATCCGATGGCCAGACACTATCAGCAACAAGTTACTGTGGGAGAGAACAAACCAGATTCCAGCAGAGGAAGAAATCAGGAAGAAGCGCTGGAAGTGGATTGGCACACCTTGAGGAAATCACCCGATTGCGTCACAAGACAAGCCCTCACATGGAATCCTGAAGGTCAACGGAGAAGAGGGAGACCAAAGAACACATTACGCCGAGAAATTGAGACAGACATGAGAATAATGAACAAGAACTGGGTAGAACTAGAAAAGGAAGCCCAGGACGGAGTGGGTTGGAGAAAGCTGGTCGGCGGCCTATGCTCCATTGGGAGTAACAGGCGTAAGTAAAGTAAAGTAAAAAAAGTTGAGATGAATACTTGTAATTTATATAAGGGAAATGTAACCGTTGAGACCAACAAAGTCAAAAGTCAGATAAATATGAAACAATGATATCGGATGTTAGTAGCATTGCAGTTCAGTTAATTAAATTTGTTAAACATGGTCCACTGCATTCCACATTATGGGGAACGGGAAATACTAGAGACCCTTTATCGTGAACTCTATCTCATATGAAACCATAAGTCCTTACTATTACTTTTCTTAGATAATAACAAAACGATGGCACAATGAATTATAGTGCGTACTAATGTTTCTTTAATTGTAAATCATTTCCTGAATACTATCATTAAATTAAAACAAATACGTATAAGTATAAATGAAATGTGACCAAGTTTAGTTTCAAGCAGGCAAGTTCAGTCTCAAGACAAAATACGCAATCGATTTTGAAATACTTTTTTCATAATTTTATATTTATGAATAATACAGAATATACAATGGAACGACATATTATTATTATTATTATTGTTATTAATGTCATTATTATTATTATTATTATGCAAATTCGAATTGAGCACAGGTGAGGAAGTCATCGTCTTTGTTTGTATCCTGGAAATAGTTTGACAAAATTAAACACGTAGCTAATAAATGAGATGAAGATGTAACGAAGTTAGTATTCCTCGCACAGATAGTTTGTTTTACAATTTCACAATGACTTATGTATATACCTAGAAAATGGTTCAGTTTGTTAAAGTCATTATTTATTCAACGGTTCTTTTAAGAGTGGTAATAGTTCAGTCACTTTTCAAAAAAAAACATTAATAAAACAGTTTAATCTTGAAAAATAGATTGGTATTCTATATTTAGTGCCTTACTAATATTAGCAACAAAACTCTTTGTATAATATACCCAGAAATCTAAAGGTGAATGTATGTTGATGATTATTTAATTTTACTCTAATTTTCAGTTTGATGCACTTTGAACAGGTAAAGTATAAGAGTTATTTGTTTGTTCACCATTCACGTTATCGTTCTCGACAGTAATTTTATTAACATTGTTTACCGAATAGTTAAGATTTCTATAGTCTTTATAAATATTTTGATCATCAGAAACTAGTGGTACTACTCCTAGGGTTTCCAATGTATTTGTTGTCGTGTTATTCAAACAATGAGGATTATTCTTACTACTTGTACTACTACAGGGTTTTAATAAACATGATTTACTTTCTGGTAATGAAGCATAACCTCCAATAACATGTGCACATTCGGGACAGATTGTTAACCCTCTTAAAGAACCAGCCAAAACGGTTGCGTTCATTAGATATTTATAATGGGCTTCATGAAAACCAATACAGTTGCAAGATATTTTATCTGAAATTGACGAATTGATGCATGGCATCGGACATGTGTGTATACCAAGAAAATCATCATTTATACTACACGAAGGATTAATGATGTTTGGAGATTTAATGTTTAGTGTTTGACTTTGTGTACTCTTTGAACGTTTACGATTTAAACGACAGAATTGTAGTTTTACTGAATTCCGAATCCGTTTTTCATTTTCATTGCTGTTATTGTTATTGTAAATAATAATTTGATTGTTATTAGTGCTGGAAGTGTGACCAAGTTTACATTGATTTTCGTTATGCTGGCAGTTAGAAGTTGGAACGACTTGAGGATGAAATTGTTTATCTAAATTATCAGCTAACTTCCTGCGTAGCTCATTTGTTCGTGTATCTGAATTCCACGAAGAATCTTTTGAATCTGAGCATAGAATTTTTAAAATGTCTGGACATTTATATTCACGTACATTTCTATAAAAACGTTGGAAAAGACGTTTAGTCGTACGACGAAACGTTGTAGAAACTAGAAAGTAGAGGAAAAAGTTCGATGCGCATCCCAGCAATTGAACTACATTAGTCCATTCTACCGTTAAATTTAATGTCATATATAGTATACGAGCATTTCTGTCATGGCGAACAAGCGAACCCATTTCACTCATTACTTGGAGACAAGCAAAATGTACAATACCGAATGGTGCAGTGAAGAGTAGAAATGCTATGATAACCGCAAGTAGTAATGGAGTGACACGATTTGTGGCTCTTTGTTGTAAACGCTGAGCTGGTGCTTTGCCTTGTGAATTCGTACGCCAGCTACCAGTACCTATATGTTGTTGATGTGTGTTATTCGAATCTCTTTGAAAATAATGAAGATAACGTTTTTGTAGTCTTGTTTGTGTACTGGAGTGTTCCTGAGTCACATTATTATTATTACATTTATCAAATGTTTTGTGCGAATCATATGTATATGATTTTCTGCATGCGTCGCTCTGACGACAAGCTCTAATCACTGAGACATTGGTTATGACTACACCGATGAATGGACCGATATTTGTCAAGATTATTTGAGTAACAGTATATGCTATTCGTATACTCTCAGTCTTCCAGATTTCACGTTCAATAACAAATATAGTCACTGGATTATGTTTTTCGGTTTTACTAAAATTTGTTCTGCTTGTGTTTGTTGGATAACTCCTTCGGTGGGTTTGTTGTTCTGGTTGTTGGATTGTCGAATTCAACATTCTTTTATGACTAACCTTTTCTTCACTATATGTATATGTTAAAAATGATGGAATATGAAAAAGCAATGCCAGCAAATATAACAGAGTAATAATATGTAACATATGACGTGATGTAAGACATGCACGAGAGGCTAAAGGTCGACAAACTACGAGGTAGCGTACAATACTCATTAGCAGTACCATCCAAACACTAACTGTTAGGAAATATGTCACAAGCCCAGGGCCATAAATAGTGTAATAAAGCATAAAATTGTGACTTGTATAACGTCGTTGAACATAGCCCAATGGTAAAGATGTTAAACAAACAAGAAAATCAGCCAATGCTAGACCAAGTAAGTTTACACGTGCTGTACATTCACCTCCAAATGTCACTTGAGATGTTGGATAAACATGTAAGACAAGAAAATTTAAACAGTTTCCAATTATTCCTATGCATCCTATGAGTAAGGATAGAACAGGTAGTATAGTAAACTGTATACGTGCCCATTCAAGTGAATCGGTCGAGTTAGCCATAGATTTAGCAGACTTAGATGATTGGTTATTTGTTTTTATGAGTACTGTAGTATTTATTGACAATACAGGATTTGATCCGTTCTCTACATTGTTAATAATGTTACTATTTGGATGAAATGAAAAACTCAACATGATCATCTGTACCAAAATCAGATTTAAAATATTTCTGAGTGCCCTTGGACTTCTGTAAAACAAAAGAAGACAGGGGACTCAATTAAAATTTCAACTAATAAAATAATAATTTTGAGAATAGGAATGTATTATATTTTCATTCAAAGAGTATGTGGATAATATGTAGATATTTACAATATTGCAGCAGGTTTCTATCATTCAAAACACTTGAATCTATTCCCATCTAGTCGTATTAATTTCTTTTTTATATACTTACTCATGGAAATTAAAATTACAGATGCGGTAGAATATGCCTAGTGACCAGTTTAGATTTATGTTGGCCATAATAACATAGTACATTCCTCATCGTTGATGGGAATATTAGCAAATTTCTCTTCATTTATCCAGATGATGATTATGATACAGTTTGACAAGAAATAAAAGGCCCCAATAATTTGTTTTCAACTAAGGATACTTTTAAGTGCAATTCCTAAGATATGTTTTTCACACATTAAATCACCTTGCCACTAGCTAAACATTCATAAGTTCCAACCCTAATATCTGAAAAAAGTAATTGTGCTGTCATTTTGAAATAGATTTTTGCAATGATCATTAGTTCGATAAAGACTCATTAAGTAATTTAAAATATTTTAAAATGTAAGAAAAAGATACATAAGGTGATTTTCGAATTATAATTTGATGAACTTACTGTATTGAACAACAATAGAATGAAAATGTGAAGGTAAAATACTAAATTGAAAGTCCCTTTTTTGAATTGAATTTGTCACGTTACAGCAGATAAATGAGAACATTTATATATAAAAATAAAAGGTCAACTAGACTGGAAATGGTGGGTAAGAATAGACAAGGATAATAATAATAATAAACATAATGTCAAAACAACTTGACACCTAATCACTCTGGATAATAAGCTAATATTACCAGGGTAGGTTTAAGGTGAGAACAAAATGTTTTTGAATATACAAAAGGGTTTGAATTTTCGTATGGCTAAGGCTTCAATAAACCTTAGTATACGCCCATTTACACTTTTATACAACACCACAAAAGCCGAGTTATGATCAATCTTATGACCTGTTTCGATTATGTGTTTAGCAACAGAGGATGATGGATTTTTATCCTCTACTCTTATTGGGTCCTTCGACTGTATTTGTTTTTGCAACCATTTTGGTACATGTTCACCCACCCTAATTTTCAGATCACGATTGCTCCTCCCTAAGTATGTGTGACTACACACACATTTAAATTGGTAAACGCAGTGGGATGTGACACATCGTTTTCATGTCGTCTAGATTTTGAATGAAGCATGGACCTCGTTCTTTCTTTGATTATGACCTTCGCTGCACAATATGTTTTGTTGATGACTGATTTAAGCCATTGTTTCAATAAAAGGCTATTTGAATCCCTTCTAAATGGTAAGGTGATGTAGACAGGCTTTTTTTCCACAAAGGCTTCAATGGGTCTCATTGTGCCATGAATTCTCCATCTATTGATAAATTTAGGTGGACAATCATTTTGCTAAAATAAAACTCCAACTTTATCTATCATGACTGATATAGTAATTTATGTCAAATGTTTCATATCATTTTTCATTTCTTATTGAAAGAGTCTACATGTCCTATTAGCCAAGTCCGCAAATGTATCCTAAACTACGTTTACATATTTATTCTAAACATAAAACATACAAATTTAGACAATACAGATTAAATCCTTATGAATATTTGTTCCTAATTTGCTTGTACATCAAAAAAAGAAGAAAGATTAAGAAAGGGAAAGACCTCATTTTTGACGTTGTCATTTTTTGTAATTAGAAAAGTCAAGATATTAAGTTTTTTATTGATGGTTAATCTGTCGGATGTTGCATTGTTTACAATATTCATTATAAGAAGATAAATAATCTGTTCTATCATGTACAAAATCATGATGGTGAATAAGTTACAACATAAACTAAAACATTTTGAATTTATGGGATTTTTTTTAACCATTCTAAAGATCTATAAAAGTGCAGTATCTAAAACAGAATAGAGTTAAAATGATAAGTTATTTTAGTCTACAATGAAGTTGAATATACGTAGAATGTATCCGAGGAAATATGATCAAAAATGTTAGGAATTTTAGGCAGGTACCCAATGTGATGTTTGATAATTGATAGGAATGTGAATATGGTTCGCTGCAGATATTGTTTTCATAGCTTCTAGATATCTGAGACCTAACGTTTTCTATTCAAATGATCAGTCTACTCAACTCAGCAGATATAGTGTAAGTATTATCATTGGAAATTTTACGGTACCAACGATTTGGCTGTGATGATAAATGTCTTAAAACAGTTATTATTTAACAATAAAATAACTTAATATACTCCTAAGATTCAGTTTTCAGAGAATATTTGAGTCAGCCCTTAGGTAGAGACATTAAATTGCCAAGTTTTTATTTGTAGTTAATTACCACAAATTTTATCTTTATGGTACACGTCATAAATCAATTCATATAATGAAACTCCTTTTCTTTGGATTATTTCCTATTGATTTTTGTAAAATTGATAAAATTATAAATATGTACCATGATTTGTCTATTTCATCTCTCAAGATTTCTTCAGATATTCAGTTTAATCACTATTTATAAATATATATCTAATTTTTTCTAGACATTACGCTTTCCAGTTGGAAAATATGATCTTAGAAAAGTCTTTTCGAGCGTTATCACGATCTACGGAAACTGACATCTACATCTTTTTAATGTGTCTTGAAATCTTTGCCGAACTGAGTTAATGAGGAGATATTTAAATGTTTTTGATAACATGACCTAATGCTATTTATAATGTTATACAACTTTTTTATTTTATAATTCAAACAAATTCATTCATTTGGATAATCCGATGAAAAGAGATGGTTATCAGAACTATGTGATATATTAGCGCAATACATTTCGGACAGTCTGATCACATATTTACTTGTATACTTGCAGTTGCGTACTTCTGATGTTTTATGGGCGATATTTGTGGCCTAACGTTTTGATTCTGAAAACTAATGCTAAAGAATGATTTTACCGTCCAAGAAATGTTATTGCAAATCCTTCTTTTACTTTTATCCCCTTGAAAAATAAAACAAGGTAAAATTACACTTACCGGGATTTCATACCCTATATTTTATTCTTTAGTCAGCTAGCGACATACATACTACATTTTGAATTGATACACTGTTGATTTTACAAACACCTTGTCTTACTTGGTTATATACCAAGCAATTAATGAGTTAATCGTTTGTGTTGACCGGTAATTTTAAGTTGGTTTAGGTTTAAAACTGATTAGCTTTACAAGTAGATTTGCATATACGTCGTCAGAAAAACCTTGATAGATAGTTTCGATGAGATATTGTATAAAATGTGTAACCACAATTTTAAAAGTAAAAGGAGATAATATCTCTTTAGGAACAATTAATTTAGTCTTAAATGTCTCTAGTTTCTTTTGATTATAAAAACGATCCACTTTTTTAAAATGTGAAAATATATATCAATGGCATTTATGAGTTTAGTCGTTCGCTTTTATATCTATATCAACAGGTAATGACAGATAACCGGATATTAGTTTTAAACGTGGTAAACATGGAACGTCGTCAACTCAACATAAAAACTACTTGAAAGTACTTTGCTAGGATATGTTATACAGCATAGACACAGAAAAGATATCTAATAAAATGCAAAATAGTCTACTATGGTGAAATATATGCTCATCTTTGAAGAAATTCGGTCTAGGACAAAATATATGTCTAGACCTTTACTCGGTCTCAATAATCAGTCAAATTCCATTATTTTGTGATGGTCACTACCCCTAAGTCAACCATATCTCAAGAACAACTTTGAAAATGAATGAAGTGATACGATATGATTGTTACAAATCATTAATCAGGTAGATTAACCTATCTAGTGTATGATGAGCAATTCATAACAGTAAGATTAGATAATGATCTCATAATTTGAAAATTCAACTGAAATTCAAAAGATGATTTCTATTCTATAGCTCAAACCAGTTGGTTTAAAATAATTGTTTAAATAGGATAAAATTAATGTGAATAAGGACACTTTACATTTACAATTATATCCTTTACTTCTAATGAACAGTTATATTTAAATCGTAAACCAAGACCGGAATATGATATTATTCACAAGGTTAAAACATACTCTTATTCAAGGTATTGAATTTCATAATCATCATGTCAACTTTATACTGGGAGTAATGGAGTGTTTATCAAAATGTATATATCTAAAATAACATACAACTGATTGTTATATTACTAGAGGTTGGTATATAAAAATGCGACAACTATGAGTTGTTTTGTTTCTTGTTTCAGACAGATACACACTACTCACTTACTAAACAAGATAGAATACCATTTTTAATGGCTGATATTTACTGATTGTTATGCTAGTTAGTATTAGTTTTAAGATAAATGTATAAACTGATTACCTAAACTAGACAGTTTAAATAAAGACTAATGAAGAACCTAGGTTTTATTGTTGAATATAAAATCATTTGTAATGATTGGAAACGTTGACCGAACTCCATGGAAGTAATGCTAAATTCAACGAGGAGGGTTTTCAAGGAATCTAGAATTGTATTCTGTTCAGTTAATTTTCCTGGTTAGCGTTTTAACAGGTTCTAAGCTTTACAGAATCTACTGAAAGAACAATAAAGTACAATGGGGGACAACTGGAAATGGACCAAAGAAGCACTAACTTCCACGTGTCAGGAGGTTCTAGATCGCAAGAAGCATCGTCATAAGAAGTGGATCTCTATGGAAACTCTGGACAAAATTAAAGAAAGGAAGAACAAGAAGACAGCAATTAACAACAGTCGAACACGAGCACAGAAAGTGAAGACACAAGCCGACTATGCAGAAGCAAACAAGGAAGTGAAGAAGAGCATTAAAGACGACAAGCAGAAGTACATGGAAGGACTAGCAACTACGGGGAAAAGAGCTTCAAGAGAAGGCAATATCAAACAACCATATGATACAACGAAGAAACTAGTAGGGAGATAAACTAAACCGGAGAGACCAG